GAGAGAGAGAGAGAGAGAGAGAGAAAGAGAGAGAGAGAGAGAGATCTTCCAAGAGAGAGCAATAAGCATTCATTTCTAAATTACAATTTCCTAATGCATTTTCCATTATGAAAATGAAATACCAAGAATGGATTCATTTGAATGTTATCATCAAGTGAATGACAACTTTCATTAGTGCAAAGACACAAGATATAAAAATATGTTTGTTTCAGTTTGTAAATGATCATATTTGCTGGAAGAGTCACAGCATCTGTGATAGCTGCTACATAGATGTTCACGGATTTGAATGTATATAAAATATGATCAAATACGTAAATGTCATTTACTGCTTCCTATTTACCAGGAGTCTTAAATAATTATTATCTTCATTATTATCAACACCTGTGAAAAAGTTGCTGTTATTCTGAACATTAGCTGAATGAAATTTAATGTTAACCTCAGTTCACTTTATAACCTTAAGAAAGGCTGTAATGCACAACAGTATATAAGAGCATAGAGAAAAGGCACAGTGGATTTAAGATATAAAAGAAGCATACCACTTGCTGCAATCTGTTGGCAGTGGAAGAAGCTGAGAACGTGATGAAGTTCATGAATGACACCACTGCCCAGTGGAGGAACCTGTCCGTGGAGGTGAGGAGCGTGAGGAGCATGCTTGAGGAGGTCATCGCCAACTGGGATCGCTATGACGACACGGTGGCCAGTCTGCAAGCTTGGCTCGAGGATGCCGAGAAAATGCTCAATCAGTCAGAACTCGCCAAAAAGGTAAAACACTTGCATATATATATATATATATGTATGTATTTGAGAAATAGATTTTTATGCAGTAGGATAGTGCTACTGAATGTTTCAGATTTCAACTGTGATACACAAATCTTGACTTTGCCCTTAAAGTTATGCTTTCGATTAGTAAGTTTTTTTTTTTATTTAGTTATTCATACATACAAGAACTGGGGTACAGGCAAGAGGTATAGGGGTGAATTCACCCGAGACAGAATGGGGGAGCAGAACAAGCATATGTATTGAGATACACTGCTGAGGGGAGCAGTGGAGGAGACAGGAGAGGACTCCTGCACCATGTGGGTCAATTCCCTGGCCAGGGATCGAACTCATGCTTCAGTGGCTGCAGATAACTTCATAGTGCTTGCATTAACCCATTGTGCCACCAGGGAAGGCCCAGATTTTAAGTTTTTGTGGACTAATAATTGTATTACTTAATAAAAGTTCTCTTAGAACTGTTTTCTCTCTGATCAGCTCTGTGTTGATTTGCATTCAGAAGGTCAATGACATGACTGTTGGCCAGTCAACCAAACTCCATGGGCAGCAGAGGGTGCCATAGTCACAGTAAGCTCTATGGGGCAGGTTTTGAGTCCTGGCCCCTGGGAGTTCTTAGTGTGACAGGATGAGCACAACTTTGGCTACAACAGAACGGACTCTGTGAGAGATCATACACCAGTTGTCTCTGAAAATATTCTTCTTTAAACAATATCAACTCTCAGTCAAGGTTTTATCCTGGGTGGGAGTGATATTTGCCCTCCAGTTGCAGATATATAAATTCATGCAAAACTTAGTTTTCTTTGAATGCCAGAGAATGTCTCTAACATTCAAATATCATTTGAAATGGACTGATTTCTCTCTCTATTTCTTCATGAGAACCTAGTGAATGAATTCATATGCAAAAGATGTTTTAATGCCAAACTTTCACTAAGAACTGTAGTATGTACCACCTGCCATCCCAAATTGGTTTGTCTTTTGTTGCACTATACAACAATGAATAATTTGTAAGTGATTGGCACCCTGTATTTCAAATAGATTTAATATTCTTGCAAAAGAGGATGACAGTGACCGTGTACTTCCACAGATTTTGACTTTTCTGACTAGACCAGCAGAGCCCTAGTAGATGTCATCTGGATTAGTTTCACCCACAGAATATAACCTCCAGAAACAGAAGTGTTCTCATCTATTTTTGTAGGAAACCTTCCCACATATGGCTTATGAAATGGGTCCTCAATTGTCTTCTCTATCTTTGGTTTTCACTGTAGGGGGAGGGATGCGCATGGACACATACACTCCACTAGAAATTAAATGGAAACTGTTTCATTGCCAAGAATGTAAGCTCAAACACATGAGGAAGGAGGATATTGGTCCAGATACTTAATTTTTGATGGTTTATTTTCTTACTTGTTAATTATCTTGATAAATGATATTCATGTTTTAAGATAAAAACTAATAGGACCAAATTTTGCTTATCATTTTTTTTAAAAAGAAGATGTGCATTTCCATAAAAGATGGCACCTCTTCTGTATCTCAGTTATTGGTGTTAAGTCTATCGGGAGACTATATGCAAGCCCCTTATGCTCCTAGAAATTCAGCTTTTATTCATCTATAAAGTACAAATAACAGAAGATGATCACTATGTTTTGTTTTGTCTTCAACAAAAGATAGGACATAGATGCTCTTATAAAGTCACTCGGAAGTTGGTTCATATTTTTGAAAGTTTTATTAAAATGTTGCATTGTGATGGAGCTTTCCCTTAAAATTTGAATAAACTTAATTGCAAAGATATTTCTCAGTCTGGTCACTTTCATGTCATTTATCAGGTATTGCTGTATGGGTTTACATCAGTGTGCATTGTTTATTGGTTAGGATTTTTTCCGAAATTTGCCTCACTGGATCCAGCAACACACTGCCATGAATGATGCTGGCAATTTTCTCATTGAGACGTGTGACGAGATGGTTTCCCGAGATCTTAAGCAGCAGTTGCTGCTGCTGAATGGGCGCTGGAGAGAGTTGTTTATGGAGGTCAAGCAGGTATTTCTTCAAATCTGTCTACTCCTAGCACACATATGTGTTATAAATGTCACAATAGGCAGTTTAGAGAGTGTTTTGTTGTTGTAGTGGAGGTTTAT